ATGTTTTTTGCTCAAAGGATGAGAGCCAGTATAAGGCGTCTGAATTGTAAGTTTTGAGCTTTAGTTCAAAGTCATGTAGTGGATCTAAGTGGTGAAGGATGTTCGAGGACTTTTAAAATAACCTGTAATAACTGTTGTGTAGTAACGAAGCATCAGGAAGTCACGTGTCGTGAGCTGAATAAAGAAACTTTCACAGCCGCTGAAATTATTTTGCTTTTCCTCCAAAATGTGAGAAAATGTTTGCTGAATAAATCCATCACATTAAGATTGGTTTCTTTCTCGTGGTTTAATAAAAATGAAAAAGCTACAAGAATATGAGTTCATTTTTAGAGAATACAAAGACTCGTGTAATTTTTTAAATCCTGTTTGTTTCATTACCTCTCTCTCTACCTCAGCGGTTTGACTTATTTTCACTTGCTTGATTATCAATAACGAAACAAACAAATGTCACATTTCATTTCATTGCTGCTTTGCTGGGTGGCCGGTTAGCTCAGCTGGTTAGAGCGTGGTGCTAATAACGCCAAGGTCACGGGGTCGACCCCCGTACGGCCCAAGGTTTCATGTTTTTTATGCCGACTAGGTTTGTGTTGTTACGGATGAACATGTTAGCATCTTGCTAACCAACCTACTGATGCTTCTGTGAAGCTGTGTCTCCTTTCAGCACCAAAAAACCAACATGGAGGTGAGCTGAGCAAATAGGTCTGACTCTGACGAGGTCACAGGTTTGACTCCCATTTAGGCAAAATGGAGAGCTTTTGTTCTCCGTGCTTCCTTTCCTGTTGGTTAAAGCCTCTTTCTTGTAAGCTGTTCAGCACGATGGCCTGTTAGCTCTGGGATAGAGCGTGGTGCTAGTGATGTCAATGTTATGGGTTCAGTCCTTATACAGAGCAGGTGTATGTGCTATTTAAAGGCAGTGGAGGTGGTCTCAGGGTTTGGAAGGGACAAAGTTGGGCAAGAGTCGGGTTATCAAGTGCATCCAGAGAATTTGTGGAAGCATCACACTTATTTCTTTCATCAAAGCTGGAGCTCAGACTTCTTGGATGGTCTGTTAGTACAACAACCTCACTGCAGCATGTTATTGGTCAGGTAACGTCATTAAAAGGCTCCAAGAGCATAAACATGGTCCAAAAGTCCACTTCAGGGTCTTCAGTTAGCTGAGGTGAAGCCTAGCAGACCCTGGAGGTCTCTGCTTAGTGCAGAGGTTTTTTCTCCATAACCAAAATACATGCAAACGTCCCCAACCGTCCAACAGCAAAGCCTGTTGAGCATTAATACGAGGGCAGAATCCCTCTTCCTCTGCTCAGTGCTATCTCGAGCCACCACTGCTTCCTTCTGCGCTCACCGCGTGCTTGCTGCTTCGATCCTATCAGCTCAGATTTCCTTCCACAGGAAGATTATCGGGGTGCTGGCGCTCCCGAGCTCCCTGCTGCTGTCGGTTAAACGTCTTAAAAACGAAACCCCGCTTTTTGTTTTTAAAGGCACTGTCACACTTGGCTGTAAACCAAATCAGGTTTATATAAAGTTCAGAGTTTCCTCCTTCTGCTATTCCCATCTTCTTCTCTGAGTGCTGCAGTCTGGTTTTTATGTATGCTGCTTTCAAAGGGACGAGAACCATTTTTCCTTAAGTTTCCCATGTGTACATATCTACTTTTTCACACTAGTCGTCCCTCATTGTTGGCCTTAAATCATAAATACAGAGCTTAAAAGCTTATTATGGTCTAAACGAGTCTTTAAAGCTGATTTGTAAACAGTAATTTAACATTTCATCAGCGATAACTGTGATCTGGAAGGAAAGGCGCTGTTTTACGAGAGCTCGGTTTATGTTTAATTGTCAAATAAAAAGCTGTAAATAACTTTGCGCGGTCTTTAAAACATTTATATCCTGAACACTGAACAGGACTGAAAGAAGCAAAGAGGCTGCATGTAGGAGACACACCTGAGAAGCAAACAGGTAAGTTTACACACACACACACACACACACACACACACACACACACACACA